TTGACTCTTGCAAAAAACGGGCGCCAAAGCATAAATAGCTTAAAAGTAATGGTGAATTAGGTATAGGCTCTTGAAAACTGTGTTCGGCCACCTTAACTTGTTTGAAGTGAACGTCAAGTACATAGATTTTTTTTATTATTGTTACTGCTAAACTTGTTTGAAGTGAAAATCAAGCAAGTACATAGATTTTCTTATTTGAAGTGAACATCAAGTACATAGATGTATTGTTGTCACTGTTGAACTTGTTTGAAGTGAACTTTTTCAATCACATTAATATAATTTTTCAATTTAATTTGAAATTTTCATAGAAACCATTTTTTATTATTACATACATGTTAATAATGAAATAAGAAGTAACAGAATGACAGTGTTTTTTGTTTAAAATAATATTATGAAAACTAAAATGAGAATGAACTTCACGAATCCCTTCAGCTGCTGTTTGAGGCGTGACAACTTTAAATTAAATGTTACTTAGGGATTCCAGGATATACCAGGATAGTCTGTGGTTAGGATCGAAGTTGTAGGATCGAAGTATGATTAGGTGTTAAAAATCCCCTCTGCACTGACAGATGTCGGCATGGGTCAGTTTACCACAACAATGGGTCATGACAACTTGAAATAAACAGACGTCTACAATTCTGGCATGGAAACCCGTCGCAGGGAAATCGTCTGAGAAGCGAGGTTACCAGGTTAAACTGCTGTGATTTCTTTTACTTAGAAGATTTCGTCGGTGGCATTGGTATGTTGCTTAAGTTTAGGCTTCTTCCTTTTCCTTACGTTTTTTGAAACCATGTCTCATGAAGCCAAAAAGAGGAAATCTCAAGGTCTACATCATCTACATCTACATCTGTGCTTGACTCTCTCGTTGTGGAAGTTTCGGAATTGCGTCCGTTCTCCAGCAATTTCGTGCGACTAACACTTGTTGTAGTTTGTCCTTCAGCTTTATTGGCGGGACTAGTGTCCTTGGGTTCCTTCAACCATTCTTCTTGATTATAGTGCGACCTGTGGTCGCTCAGAGCCAAAGACCTTGCTCGACGCTGAACCTGTGGGTTCCACCAGATTTTCACCTCCTTGGCTTCTTCGAAGACGAAAATGGGCAAGAAGTTTTCTCACGTTTTTGTCCTGACATAAAGAAAATTTGACAAGAACGAAAGCTAACTTGCGATGAAACAACCAGATCGAGAACAGTTCGCGTGCACAAATAAAAATAAAATATCACACCGCAAGTCGCATTACATACGTAACAAGTGGCGGTGAATTTTAATTAGAGGTGTCGACGCGCCGTAAGGGGTTAATGAGATTCACAACTAGTTTTTTTCCTTTATCTTAAAAAGTAAAAAAGCTTTTTTCCCCATTCTTTTTGTAAAATATTTATCTCAGTCTTCTCAATTTGAACAGCCAAGAAAAGATCTTTTGCATTTTTAGTAAAAATCCATCTATCATGATACCTTAAATGGTCTCAGCAAATGTCTTGGCCTAAAAAGCTACATGTAGTCCAATACAAAACAAAAATTCTTTTAAAACGGCCACTAACAGGGAATGAAAGTGAGGAATGAAGTATTTCACGCACTTTACCTCAGAAAAAGAGTGCTCATCGACACCACTCTCGTGAATATCACGTATTCCACGCAAACTCTGCATATAAAGTGAGTCAACCTAGTGAAAAAAGTGTGAGAGTAAAGCACATAATTTTTTAATAACTTTAATCTACTCCAAGAAAACACCAAAAGAAATAACCTTTTTCACGTCCACTTGTCTTCATTAAAAGAGGCATGAATCTCGGTAACTTTATTTTCCTTTCATTTTGCCCTCCACCCGAGAATTTGTGGCACTAATTACTAATTGCACCAATTAAGGACGTTACTGTCTCCAATATCCAAAAAAAGCAACCCAATCAGATTGCTCAGACTACCAAGATCACTCACAGCATGAATTGATATAATTTTTACAGCTATTAATAACAGGTATTTGATAACCACCGTAACCAGATGTATATAGCAGATCCTTGGTGACATCTTCTCAAATTCTTGGTCCCGGGTTTTCAGAGTAAGAGGAACAAGATAATATTTATTGTTCGTTTTCTTGGGATGGGTTTATATCTAACGGCCAGTAATCACTAGCGCATAAAATCAACATATGCAGATGCAGTAAGGAAATTTGGCAAAAAAGACCCTAACTATTAATGCCTGACTGCGACTGTCTACATTACTTGTGGTTATGATTATGTGCTACTGAAAACCAGCCTTGCCTTCATGCAGCCGCTCTTCATAGCAGACTGCATGGGACAACTACTTCAATAACAAATCTACAGCAAGGCAGACTGCTACTTGTTTAATTTAAAACAAGGAACATGTTAAAATAAAATAAACAAAATGTTAAAAGCACACCTCCTCTATGTCATCAGGTACAAGAGGCACAGCCACCAGTTGTTTCCACACCATTGGCGCTAGATGGAGATCAAGCGGTTTCCTTGTGCGTATGGCCACACCCATTAATATCCCAAGAAAGGTAAAAAGCTCCAGATCGGAATCACTCGAGGCAGCAGGATTCAACAGAAACCTGTACACACACGATCAAACCTCCATTAACTCTGCTTCCCTTATTCTCTTACCAGCCCTTATTTATAACCATTATACAATCGGTTTTACTTCATTTGCTGTTTTTCTTTATCATATCAAAGTAGCAAATCATTAACCATATCGAAAGACAGGAAAATGTTAGCACAGTAGCAGTGTACATAGCCTGCGAACAGGCTTCCTGTGAGGATGGAAAAAATTTTGGTGAGCGCAAAACAGAAGAATTCGGAGAGCTAAGCGATGGGGGTGGGGACTCACCCGGAGACTGTTCGCAGGCTACAGTGTACAAAGAAAATCATGCTTTGCAATTTCGTTTTAAATACGGTTAATTTTAGAGCTAGCTAGCGTAGAAACCATAGCCCTAGCCCTACCCATACGTAAGAGAAAACGAGAAACCTCATTACATTGGTACCCCGGTGTTAGATATTTTTGTTAACCAAAAAATCAGTCTAACATGTGAGAGTGACCCACTGTGCAAGCAAAGCAGTTTTGAAATAATTCACCGCTGCCAAGGCATTAGGTTACTGCCAGAAGAACTAGAAATTTACAAACAAGATAATTCTGACCACACACCGTTTTAAAGAAACACGAAAGAGATTCTTAATTAAACCTGCAGTAGCAGCTGGTTTTCTTGTTTATCTAAATGCCATTAAACTCACTGTCTCTGAAAATTAGTCAAAACCTGTGTTATCTTAAAGCTGGATAAAATTGTAACCCCCCCCCCCCCCCAAAAAAAAGAATACAAAATGTAAAATTACTAAATAACTACAGCTGTAAATAATGTTAATAACTACAAGCAGAACTTCCTAATGTAAACATACTGACCTGTCCCTATTATAACCAACCTCGGTGATACTGTTTGGAGTTGGTATGAGAAGCTTGACAACATATGATTGAAGTTCCTGAACACGATAAGATAGAGTTAATTCTTAGAATGGAGAGGCTGATTTTCATCTCCCCAAAAATGTTTTTGTCCCCAGACATTTCATCATTCAACTGACAGACTTCAGCTTCACTTGCCTTCAAGTGTGTTTTGCAGTAGGAGGGACCTCACCTGGCACATCTCAGTGATGGTATCATCAAAGACACCGCCTGCATCATCAGCTCCTTCACCAAGCAGGTTGACTTTCCAGGCACGAGATGGAAGACGCAGATCAGCTGGGTTGAGTTTCACAACTTGACGAGCTACCTGTACTAGCATTGGTTGCGTTTTCTTTCCTCTGAACACAAAATACATACTGTATCACACCACTAAGTCAAACTGACTGATGTTCTAAGCAAAGCTTGACAAAACATGGAAAACTTGCAAAATTGAGGAGTTGCCATCACTTCACCTTTACCTAACTATGTGCGCCAGAGTGGAGCATAAGCCTTGTAAAAATAAGATAAAAGCGTATTTCACTTTTTCTTTACAACAGCATTTTAACTGTAAGAAACGACTTTATTTTTCTTGACAAAGTACTAATTTCAATTTGTCAGAGCTCTCGTGTAATAGCTTGTCGTTTTAAAAGCAAAACTCAAAGAAAGATCTATGTTACTTTAGCGCTGCCATGTTAGTGCCCTTCCGAAAGACACCAGCATCGCGTCTCTTTGCAAAACTCTATAAATTTGGGTGAAACACTTTTCGAATAATGCACATATGGAAAACCGCACAGACCTTGGCAATGTTGCTTATATATCAATCATTTATATCACAGATTTTTGACTTTTTTGAAGGGTTGCGATTGTTAGTTTTGATGGTATGACAGTTAAAACTAGCAACTGGTACAAATGTTTTACTGATATAAAATAATTTTTGAGATATTAATAGCAGTGAATCGTCTGAACTCATCTTTGGCACTACACTGTTAATCGTGCCACTTCAATGGGCCTAGTAAAAACGAACCTAACAACAGCTTCATGGTGATCTGGCTCACCCTTTCTGTATATGGTGCAAGGTCTTGTGCTTGGCTCTTGGTGCAGGTGAACACAATATATGATTTTCTCTTTGATTTTTGGAACTAAATAACACAACCGTCCCGGTAATTCAGCTCATCTTCTTGAATGAGCCTCTCAAATACAGCCACAGAAAAGCCAAAATACATGGCGAAGAGACTGGCTATCTTTTGGCACTTGACTGTTTTTTTTTCCACTTCATCTACACCTGTACCATCAGAAGGATTTAAGGGCTTGATTCAACTTTAATGTTTGGAACTATCTTTTTCAAGACTGTCTAGAACTTTTAACAACAACTAGAACAAAACTTTATTCTATTTTCAATAATTGACAGCCATGAAGTTTAGGTTAATGTCTTACATCTACACTTTATTATCAAAAATAATTAAGTTAGAAACTAAAATCTAATGACATATGAACCTGCAGGTAGTCTAGACTGATCTAGGTGGGCCACATCTATATTTCCAACATTGCGACGAGCTTGCAATTACAAGAGTGATGGTTTCAACAGAAAGCCTGCAATTTACTTCAAAACTCAAAATAGAGTCTTGATTAGCCAATCAGTGTTCATCAAGAGGGGAAAGCCAGGAGAGCCTATCGTAATGCTAAAGAAGACAAGTAAAATTATCAAGCTTTAGTAACAAGGTGACATCAGCACCGCAACCTGCCTAATCATGTATGTAATATCGATGAATTACGTAGGCCTTACCCAGACATTTTACCTAATCACCTAATGGCTAGAGCAGAGTAAAACGCTGAGGGTATACTATTACTATGACGACGAGGATGGCGGTGGCGAGGACGATGACGAAAACGACGACGACTACTACTACCACTACTACTACCACCTGACAAATTAGAAATTCTTTCCACCACCAAATAAAAACACAGCAGACCTTTGTTTTGCACCATTTCATCCCAAAACCAAGTGACAAATAGAACATGACCATGAGATAACAACTTACTTACCTCTTATCTATTCGGGTCACTGTAATTTGTGGTCCATAGTTTTTTCCCTGAATCATAGTTCGCCCAAGTGCCCTTACAATCGGAAGGTTGGACACACGATTCGCTATCAATGGCCTGAGGTGACCAAGGACAAATCCAGTTGTACCTTGGTTGAATAGATGAGGCTCAACCTAAATAAACAACACATTGTATCCTCACAGAGGGCATTGCTCAACTGAATGTGGCAATTGAGACAATTTGTCTCAATTTCCGGGTTTTTGTCTAGGCCACACGTTTTGCCCCAGACCACGTGACCTGAAACAATTGACCGCAGTGAAATATTGAGGCCTAGGAACTAGGCAAGGGTCACTGGTCTTCAATTAACTTCTGTTCAGAAATATGGAATAGATTAGACATTTCATTAAGGGATGCAGTCGCTGACTACATTTAAATGTGGCTTGTCTAAAGCCGTTTTATGAATGTTTATAATTAGTTTTCTTCTAACTTTTGTACATATGTTCTTAAATGTTCTTTTTATATTTTATATTTCTCAATTTGTTATTATTCTTATCTAGGTAATTTTTGGGGACCCTTCTGTAAACTGCTCTACTGCGATGTTGGTAACCTCATTAAAGATTACTACCACTACTTTGGATAAGGATAAGATGCAACTTACGGCAAAAGTTTAAACAAAATTCCTTACATTGGGTTCAGAGCCACCTTGAATTTTGGAATTTCGTTCTTTGGAATAAAGTAAAAGCCTAGGTTAAGCTTAAAACATACGCCACTAGAACAGTTATACTCTAGACTGCCAGCACTCTTTTTTTTTTTTAAATTTGACGCAAACGCATGAATACAAAGCAAAGATTTTAACTTTTCCAATGTCCCAACAAAATCTACCTCTCTTTATTTTCACTGTTTTGAAGATTTCTTCACGCCATTATCTTCCTAAAATTGCGTGTCATCATTTCGAGTTCAGTTTGAAAAACTTCAGGAGCTGCTGATCATTTTGGGCATTATGCAGCTATCCTGAGCTGTTTTGATGGTATAGCCAAAGAACTACAATCACACGATGCTTACCTCATCTGGGTTAAAGTTTATTAATCGCCAACATGATGAAATCAAATCTGAGAAGTGATACAGCACTCGTAACCTTGTTCTCACAGCCTCGGTGTCAACACATTTAATTGCTTGGAATTGGGGAGGGATAATGGTGGGGTGACCCAACTGCAGAGGCGAGGGTGTTCCAGGTGTTCTAGGAGGAACCAATGGTGTTGTCCATGCTGCACTATGATTTCGACCAGCAGAAATCTGTTGGATGTTCTTGCCTTGTAAGCCTGGGATAACTACTGGCTGACGCTGTGTAGTGTTGTTGCCCAGTCCCAACTGACCCTCAGAATTGTTACCCCAGCCCCAAACCTCCCCAGAACTTGTCATCACAAGCACATGCTCTGCACCAACTGCTACATCCTCAATGAAATGTGTTGCAAGAGTTGGCACTTGAAGAGGCTTGCTTTGACTGCGAAGACGACCCTCTGGTTGTCCTGTAAGACGCTCTGCAAATAACAAACCAGTATCACACAAGGAAACAGCTTACATTGTTATATAATTACAGTTCAGTTGAATCTAACGCCCACTCTTATTGGCTGATTTAAAAGTCATGTGGCAATGGCTAAATCTAAATGTTTCTTTACTTTGATATTTTCTTTTTATTGATGCTCTATTCATGCTTATTTAAAAATTAAAAAGAAAAAACTCAAAAGTACACAGCTTACTAAAAAAAGACAAATTCGAACATTTACAATGTAACAATGCTAGAAATTTTCAATGAAAAAATTTATGCCGTTTTCAGTTTTCAAATTATGAGATGCTTTTAATAAGGTAAAAGAGACCGACTCTGAGCACTCAAAAAGACCCCATTCCAGCGAAACTGTTGATTTAATTATGTATATTTTTCTGTTTTTGTTAATTATGTCAATTCTTTTGTTTTCCTCCATGTCAGTTTATTCTAATGTAATTTCACGCTTTCCTCTCTTTCTATGACGTTACTGAACTTACAATAATTTACATTTGATAATGGTGACATGTCGTCGCCGAAACGTCATGTTTTAATATCGCTAGCTTTTACCCTAAATGAAACTTATTATTTACTTATCAGTACAAGGATCTCATAAAACAAGGCGTTTAAACGCCTATACCCGCTTGCCCTCAGATCAACACGGAGTAGTCCATTGTTTACTTTTTGTGACGTTTAAGGTAAAATCGGGTTTTCAGCCGGGCCTCAAAAACCACTTGAAGAATAACCCAAGCTGATTTTAATACATGTTTTACAACAACAACAACAAAAAAATGTTCCAAAGGCGAAGTTTCAAGGAATTTGGAGTTATGGTGCATGTTAAAAAATATCTCATTAGGAATTTGACCTAGTAACTAAAGGGATTTTTTTAAAAAATTGTCGAAAAATAATTGTATGTTTATTCTCAAATGGTGCTCAGGTCAAGTTCTAACCTGTTTTGGATAGCTAAATACTTTGTCCTCAGGAAAAAGTACTGATAAGCTTTGGTTCTCCTTTACACCCGAAGGCAAATTAATGGCCCTTGCGATCGGCCATTTTGATGACTGTCAAGGAGAAAATTGGTTTTCTTGATTTTCTCAAATTTAAAGTGCTTTGAGCTACAAAAAACTATATCACGTTTCATATATACCTAAGGGCTATTTGCAGACAAAAAAAAAGAGAAAAATCGACTTTTCGACTTCTGCCGTCCTATGTTTGCTAATTAAAGAAATTCATTCTTAAAGCCTGGTTTTCACTTGCGACGCAAGCACAAGTGCAAGCACAAGTGCAAGCACAAGCGCAGACACAATAATTCTTATTTCACAATGAAAACCGCCTTGACACAAGCACAAGCACAAGCATCAAAATATTTCCTTTTTCTTGTGCTTGCGCTTATGCTTG